GATTGATGCCATACTTAAACTAGGTGGTGTTATGGTCGTGCGTACCAGGGACATGCAGCTCATGAGAAATTGTAACTCATGTGCCGCCATTACAATTGAGGAACGGGATTTCTGTATCACGTATAACCCGGAACAAAGACTTGGACAGAGGAATTAAAGTGGACAGGAAATAAAGCACCAGATCAGTTACGCAACACCGTTGCGGAATATATGGTGTCGAATAAGAACAGAGCTGCCTACAAGAGCAAACTGGAGACGTGGATTGTGAATGGCTGGCTGATACCATATCTGCAAGACTGATTGGGGCCACCAAGAGGATGAATCCCCTTAATGGCCATTGCACAAGCAACCAATGCTAAGGTACAACCAGTGATGGACTATAGGGAGAAAAATCAATACATAGATGTCTTTATGGTACATGCAGATGTGTATGCCAAACGAATGAGGGAATGGTGGCAACAAGGAGCTAAGGTGGCTCTGCTTGACCTGCAAAAAGCATATCTTCAAATACGAATCCATGAGATGTTATGGCCTTTCCAAACGGTTATCGTCAAAGGAAAGAGGTACTGCTTGATGCGTCTGGGGTTTGGTCTTAATGTGGTTCCTCTAATTAGGAAATCAATCATTAAGACAGTGCTAGATCAGAATGAGCTGATGAAAAGAGTTGCGTCGGCATATGTCGACAACATATATATAAATGAGGACATGAATGAAGTCAGGCACAGATTAGAATCCTTCAGCTTGTCTAGCAAAGACCCTGTTCAATTAAAGGATGGGGCCTAATGTGCTTGGGCTTAAAGTCTGGGGGGAGTACAACACATTGCGGTGGAAGCAAGTGATCTCAGTTTCAGAACTTGCTGCTACACTAACGCGAAGCACTGTATTTTCCGTATGTGAGAAGTTAGTGGGGCACTTTCCCATATGCAGGTGGCTCTGTGCATCCACAGGAAGGATAAAAAGACAAGCAAGCATGGTAACAAACGGGTGACATGCCACTATACAAGACACCCCTCTTACACAGATGATTGTTGAAAAGCTGACTAGAGTCCATCAAGATGACCCCGTTCAGGGAGATTGGTGCGTGACTGGAGAAGTCAATGCATGGGTTGATGCAAGCTCCCTGGCAATATGTGTGGTGCTGGAAAACCGGGGTGTTATACTAGAAGATGCATGCTGGCTTTGACCAAGAAATGATGCACAACATATAAAACTGGCTGGATGCTGCGTTGAAAGGTATAAATCTGGCATTACAGTGGCGAGCCAAGGTGGTACACCTATACACAGACTCGGTATGTGTGTACCAATGGCTGCAGAATATTCTGACAGGCAAGACTCAAGTGAGGACAAAAGCTGCAAGCGAGATGCTAGTGTGCAGGAGACTGGCTAACCTACAACAGCTAATCGAAGAATATGGTTTGGTAGTTGACGTCACACTGACTACATCACGGAGGAAGTTGGCTGATAAGTTGACTAGAGTACCAAAAAGATGGTTTGATATGTTGAAACAGGGATCAGAGCCACCAACATGCACAGCTGTTATGAGCCAGCTGATCATCAAACAAATCCATGTCATACATAGCAAGAGCAGTCATTCTGATTTTCGACTTACTTCGTCCAGAAAGTTTGTCCTGCAGTGACAAAAGCAATGGTTAGGTCAGCCATACAAGTTTGTGAGGAATGGCTGTGCAGTGGACCCTACACCAGTCCAATGGAACAAAGGCAAGCTTGATACAGACAAAAACTGCTGGTGACTGGGCATAGACGCGACACATCACAATGGCAATCATTTTCTAACTTTGACGGATTCCGACCTGACACATTTCACTGTATGGCACCCACTGGTGCAACAAGATGCATTATCAATTATACAACAATTATGAGCTATCTTCTATGAATGTGGTACCCCCGTTGAAATATTGACAGACAACACCCTAACTGTAGCCAAGATTTTCAGGACTTCGTGGTCGAACGGGGAGTGTGAGTAATGTACAGAAGCGCATGCACTCCAGAGGAAAACGGGATAGCTGAGCGATGTCACCACAATGTTAAAAGGATAGCCAGAACATGGTGCTCCAGTCAAGAAGCTGTGTATTGGTACAACGTCATGCCCAAAGATGATGTAACACCATCAACTGCGCCGACCAATGGAATACATACATACAGACAGTGGATAAAGGGGATAGATCAAATAATGCCAAACATTCCGAAGAATACCAAAGAACCATATAAAATTGGTGATCTCATATAGGTCAAGCCTCCAAATGGACGTTGTACCACTAGATTTAGTAGAAGACAAGTTGATGGAGTTATTATCTCCCAAACAATCCAGGTCAATGGTGTTCCACACCATGTGAAAAACCTTCACCTGCAACACAAGTTAACCGCCTCAGAAGAAGAGCGTTACAGCGAAGATACATTGTCTGATAGTGATTCGGAGACAACAATGTTTTGCACAATGCGGTCAGATGGTCTGCTTCCTGTATCAGAGAGTATAGATTCAGACAACGAGGAAGGTCGTGATGATGCCGAAAATGTCAAGGACCCACAGAATGTAGACGTGGCATCTGCTCTTCATTTCTCCAACTATCTTGTTCAAAAGTTTTTAGTTTTCCTTTTGAATCTGCCATCAACACAGTATCATCTGTGTAGAGTTTGTTGTCAAGATTAAATCCACTGATAACAAATGTAGATAATTCCATCATTCTTCTTCTTCTATGTGCTGTGTCCCTTCATGATGTTGGTGATCATGGTTCTCCACAATCTCCTGTCCTTTTTTAGCTCTTAATAAATCTTGCCTTTTTGTTATTTCTTCTGAACCTTGCTCTTCTATTTATTTACTCAAGTTCAATAAATGTTTCCTCTGTTTCTCTTGCCTTCAATCTGTCCTGTGAGTATCAAATTTTCCAAACCCTCTTTCTTCATTATGTGCTCTAGAAATTTTAACTATCTCCTTCTGATGTTAAGTATAAGTTTCCTTTTGTTTCCATTTTCTCAGAAATGTTGTCATTGCTCACATGTTCGGTTTATGGTATTCTCAGTGTCCTTCTGCAGAGCCACTTTTCTGTTCCTTCAAGTCTCTTTTTCATCTTTGAGGAGATTGTCCAGTATTCACTACCATATAAGAGGTCTGATATTACGTAACAGTTCAGTACTCTTTTCCTTGTTTCTAACAATTTTTATTTGATTTTTTAATACCTTCCTTAATTTTTGCAAGGCAACTTTTGCTATCCTAATGCGCATTCAGATTTCAATGTTGCACTTTTTGTCCTCTGTTAAAATAAATCTGAGATATTTAAATTGTTGTAGTTGTTTTATTTTGGTATCTCCAATTTCTAATTAGCATTTTGGGCTCTTCTTTTTGTCAACAACCATCCATTCTATCTTCTTGTAATTAAAGTTTAGTCATTTCTTCTTGCTTTCCTTCACTAGCTTCTGCAGTTACATCTCTTACCTTCATTATATCCTGTGAGTATCAAATTCTCCAAGCTCTCTTTCCTTGTTATGTGTCCCAGAAACTTCAACTGTTTCTTTCTAAATATATCTCCTTTTTGTTTCCATTTTCCTTAAAACTTCCTTATTGTTCACATGTCCAGTCCATGGTATTCTCAGCATTTTTCTGTATAATTGCATCTCTGTTGCTTCTTCTGTGAGAACATTGTCCAATATTCACTGCCATATAAGAGGATTGATATTTCATAGCAGCTCAGCGCACTTTTTTTTCTTTGTTTCTAGTGAAATTTCCCTATTTCTTAATACATTGTTAAGTTTTTAGAAGATATCTTTCACTATTCAAATGAGACTTTGGATTTCAGTGTCACATTTTCTATAATCTGACCCTTTTGCTGATGACAATTATACTGTCCTCTTGCAACTGATGTTTAGTCTTTACTTTTTGCTTTCTTTTACTACCTTGTCTAGGAGATCCTGCAGTTTTCTTTCTGTGTCTACCATCAACACAATGTCAACTGGGTACCTTATGTTGGGAAGATTGTACTCACCAATAATAAATCCTGATAGGACTTCTAGTTCTTTTAAGACTGCCTCACCCTAAAGATTAAATTAATCTGTTGAGAAGACACATACGTGTCTTACAGCACTTTCTATTTTTTCCACAGTATTTATTTCTGAAGTAAATTATTTCTGCTTAATGTCTATAGAATAGTTGTTCCAATGTTTATGACCATATCACATTGAAACACAAATTCTTGTTCAATCACCTGAGTTAAGCAATGTTCAGCCTGGTCAGTACTTCGATGGGTAACCACCTGGGAATACTGTTAGCTTGGATATGCAGCAGCTGTAATGGATAATGTCTTGGAATGAGAAATTGAAGATCCATGTTCAAATTCCCACCAAGTTTGTTACATTCACTTAAGTGCAAATACCCTAAAGAAAGGTAGGAATCCTGCTTTTCTCCCCCATCTATGGGTTAAACAGCAGGTCCTATAGTTTTGGTTGGCAGCCAGTTTACTGCAGAAAGTAGTGATAGCCAATGTGACAATTCTTCTGCCAAGTCAATCATGAATCGAAAAGAGACATGATCGGCCAAGCATGACACATACAGAAGGAAATACAAACATAACATCTAAACTGTAGTATTAGTTTGTGTTAAAAATAAACTATCAACTTTCAAAAGAGATTTCGTTTTCATTTCTAGCATTTAAGAAGATCCCCTATATTATTATTTCAAAAAGGAATTAAATTGAAAAATTTTGATAAAATATCTCAATAAATATGCATGCAAAATTTTATGAAAAATGACAAGTTATGTGATTATCAGAGCAAAGAAATATTTCCAAATTAGATCATAAAAGGAAGCGTTTAACCATTCTGTCTTTGTCTATTTTAATGAGATTTCTTTGAAATCCAAAGAAGTTTTTACATTGAAGTAGGAAGCATTGATTCTTTATGACTATTTTCAGTGCAATTTAAATAAACTGCAATTAGTTTGTTAAATTTAAAAATTTGTTTAAATTTAATTTATTTTTTTTAAATTTCAGAGCAGAAGCTTTAGCTGCTGAAATCAGAGATTTACAAGGAGAACTTGGAGATTACAACACTGTAAGAATATTTTCCATTTCTCTTTTATGATTAAAAGGAACTATTTATGGTTATAACTTTTATATTTCTTAAAAGTGGAAAAAACTATAACCGATAATTTTAATACCAAATTTTCCTCTGTTTTTTATCCTGGAAGTACTGACAAAAAAAAAGAAAAAGTTGTTAGAACTCATTGACTTGATGATCCCAAATACATTGGGATCATCGTGTCAATGAGTACTCTACCAGGAAGGAACTAATTCTTCAGTATAATACCAATAAACACATAGTTCTCAGGTTAGAGAAAATCTTATTTGGTCAAATCTGTGTCATAATATTGAAAAATAATATTTAGTTCATATAGCTAGATAATTAAAGTATCCTCTGTACAATGTAAAATTTAAGGTAAAAATCAAAAGTAACTAATACCCTAACATTTAAACTACCACCAAGTCAGATAAAAAAGAATACTTTACCATTTAAGCATTAATTAATTGATATATTAAAATAAATGCACAAATACACATGTTTTTTTTTGTGTGTGTGCATATATATATATATATATGCAAAGGGTGGGATGGATAAATTGTCATCTAAATTATGCAAAAATGAAAATAACACTGACAAACCATTTTAACAGATATATATATATATATATATATATATATACCAAAATTACACAAAAATATCTTGAAATACTAAAGAGTAAATTTATTCAATAAAATTACCATGGCCTCCATAGGACTTCAGAATCTCCTGCAATCTTCTTCACCTTTGTTAATTTGATGAATGCTGCCATAACCCTTGCCTTCAGTTCATCTTTGGTGTTACAAGGAGTTTTGATGGTCTCTCACTCAACTGCACCCCCACACATAATAATCAAAGGGGTTTGCAATCTGGGGAGTTAGGTGGTCAGATGTGAGGGGTGATATGGTCGCAGACATTGTCTGACAGCCACGATTGAGTTCTCTTGCTTGTGTGGCATAGTGCAGTCCTGATGCCAGACATAAGGTCTCTCAGCAGCCACTCTCTTGACCCAGGGCAGCCTTACCTCCTCAAGGCACTTGATATAGGCCTTTGTGTTTGAGTCTGAGGTCCTGTGGGAAGATGAATGGAGGCATAACATTGCCATCACTAATGATCACTCCAAACACCTTCATAATCATCATTAGACTCCTCTGCACTATTTCTCAGATTGCACCCAAACACTCTGAAATGTCTGCATTGGAGCTTCCAACGTGAATGCCAAGCAGTACAGCATGGTGTTTCCAAATTCCTGGTGGAGTGAATTGCATCATTTTGCTGTTTTTTTCACAGACAGTGCCCACCTGACCCTACTATACTGTGCAGTTGATAAAATTAAAAAATACAAACAATGTGCATGTGTGTGATTAAAAATATAAAATAGCGACAATTTACTCATCGCACCCTGTATTTATATTACATATACCATTGGAATTTCAGCTTATAATTGGAAGATATATGATACAAATGTATATCACACACTAAGAGTGAGTAATTGAATAAAAAAATGGAAATAAAAAAAATATTTTACATGTTTCATCTTTCAAAAGAACTTCTTCAGATTAATAATAATTTTATTGAGTTTTATATACATAGCGTGGGGATGAAATACAACAAATGCCTGCTACAATTTTTACATTGAAAAATACTAAAAATACATTTCAATTTTTTGATGTCTGACGTATCGAGATGCATAACAAAGCTGACTTAATTCGGTTTTCTTTCAGTTTTGTTATTTTTATTTAAAAACAATAGCAACAAAAACAAGTGATTGAAAGTTGAATGAAGATGGGTAGGTTTAGTATGTAGATATATCAGACACCAAAAATTTAAACAATCTCCCCATGGATGTGGAGAAAGCTGATGGTAACAGAAATGTGGTTCTACAGAAGGATACTGAGAATTCCATAGACAGAGCAAGTAAACAACAGGGAAGTCTAGAAGAAAGTGGCAGCATAAATAATACATACTCAGAATCAGAAAAAACAGCTGAAATTCCTTGGACACATAATAAGGAATAAGGCCTTGGAAAATTTAACCTCACAAGGCATACTGAGGGCAAGAAATATAAGGGAAGGGAGAAACCCACTTACCTGACAAGCTTGTACAAGTGGATGGTGGAATGGTGGGGGAGAGCCTCAACAAAGGGAGAAGCAATTGCTAAGGTCCACAAGGGATGTAGGAGAACTATGATTACCTTTGTCCTGCCACACATAATCTTACCACTTGCAATTATTGTATTTCTTCTTCTATTCTCTCTCTGTATATAAGACTCCATTGATAAAACCATTATTAATCTGAAAACGACCTTTCAAGGGAAAAAACATGTAACATTGATGACAGAAACACATGAAAATGGAAATAGATCTAAGAACACACAGGGGTCATTAAAACATTAAAAGATAAGATACCGGCAACTAATTCATCATTTCTCGGACCAACTTTAATTGTTTTATGACCCTTCTCGCAGAACTCTTCACTGCCAGTTTAAGAAAGACATTCGGATTACTAACACAAAAAAAGAGAATGTCTCATATCGAGAATATTTAACATTGAAAAACATAAAGGAGAAAAAATTAATTATTTTTAATATGTGGAAATCTCCACCCTTTACCTGATGAGGGTCACGAGACCAGAAACATTTGTAGTAAAATTATGGAAAATAAAGCATAATATTTTTTTTAAAAATCCACATTACAACCAAAAACATTTGCGGTATCTCTTTTCTTTTTAATATATATATATATATATATATATATATATATATTTCAGATATCAAGAACAGTATTAGGGAACTTGTATCACAAAGTGGAAAAAGTCTACTTGTGAGGCATTTCATCCTGATTAAGTCCTGAAAAACAAAACACCACACAAGTAAACTTTTTCCACTTTGTCATATGATTTCCCCAATATATATATATATAGAGAGAGAGAGAGGGAAAGAAAAAGAATTAGCTGATAATGTAAAATAGCAGAGCATATTACTGTCCAGGAGGTTTGATGATACTGGAAGTTAATATGAAACCACTATGAAAGGGTTTCTTTTTATGGACAAGTTATTGATCTGGAAATTTTTAAAATCAAGGATGCCTTTAAGATATTGCAAGAATGTGAAAATGTAATGAAAATTTCTTTTAAAAGAATCCCTTTTTATAATTAATTTTGATGACACTGACTCAGAATTAATTTCAAGGCTGGTGAAATGGGTCCTCTAGTTCTGTGAAGACTGACTCTACAATTAATCCAGAAATAATGGGGGGGGCCCAATATTTATTATCATGACTGTGCTTTCATTTCATTTCTATGTTCTTTTTTATTCACAGATGTGAGTTCATTTTTATCAGCTTTCTCTAAAGGCTTTGAAAAGGAAACAATTGATTAATCAAAGAATTATTCAGCAAGTTGATTAATTAATTATATTCATTCGTAGTTTTATATTCTGTTCTCTATTATTGCAGCTAGTCGACAAACTCACAACAGATGAAGACATCAGAGATGTAGAAAATGACTACAATGATGTAAATATTACTTTACCTTTCACTATATATTTTTTAATGTATGATTTTGTTTGGGTCCTGAAAGTTATTTATTTTCTCGTACTTCAAAAATGATAAAAAGGTTTGGCATAATCTTCTCACACATTTACAAAGGGATTTTACAGAAAAAAAAAATTTTGTACTACTTATAGTACAAAGTTTATGGTAGCTGTATTTGTAAAATAGTTTCATAAATTTTAAATCATGCAACAGGTGCTAAAATTATCTCTGCCTGACCCACTTCCAAAAATCTCACAAAATGACTAAACAACAGATATTGAAGGAGAGGATCTTTTTCATTTGTCCAATAACACTTCAGCACACCCACTTATATATGATATCTATATATTTGTTAATCTCACACACACATACACACACATTTAGGGGTTAATCTGCTCAATATCAGGGACAGAGCATATATAAATATAAGTGTGGACACTGAGGTCAACACCGAGTGGTGACAGTCTGTTTCATGCTTGAGTGCAACCTTCAGACCATGTGTGTTGGGTGTTAGGTTGAATATTTTTATATATACTGGTCAGTGGAGCATTATGGGTAGCAAGGTCAGGTATTTACAGTTAATTGTATTATATTTAAATTTTTTCTAAAAACTACTGAGTAGAAATAATTATGGGCCAGAATGTGGTTATTTTATAACTATTGTATAGGGTTGTATGTTAACTTTTAACCTGTTTTTTATTATTGACTACTTAAGGTATTTTGCATATATATATATATATATGTGTGTGTGTGTATCACTTGTTAAATTGTTATTTTTAGTGGATACTCATATTTGAGTAGATGCTCCATTTATTTATTAAACAGCCTATTTATTTATTTTTGTCTACCAGCCTGAATATTTGAGAAATCTTATTAAAGAAAAATATGTGCTCTCTAACAGGATTCGAACTGGGCAGTGGGAAGCTGTCATTAGTTCTGATATGCCTTAATCAACTCACCCACAAAGAAGATTTGGCAATCAAGCAGAGTCTGAACAGTACCTTTAAGCAAAATCCTTCACATCATAGCTTCCTTGGAATTATCATATCTTCTCTGATTTGTATCCAAATACAAACAAAGTAATTTTCTAAAGAAGAAATGGATTTTTTATTTAGCAATCCGGCAGATTTTTATCACTTTAAACATTATTTTTAGTGGATACTTATATTTGATCAGCAAAACTTTTTTGTGGTCAAGTTAGTTAAGGCATGTTGGATCTAACAACAGTCAGTGCAGATACATGTTTGAATCCTGCTAGTGAGGGCATATTTTCTTTAATAAGATTTCTTGAATATTCAGGCAGGTAGACAAAAATAAATAAATATACTTGTAATATAGCAACAGCTTTAAGTAGCTTTATTTGACTAATTCAGTTTTAGCTCTGAAAATTGTTATAGTGGATGGTTACAAGCGAGAAGGAAGATGTAGATGTGCTTATTTTATTACTACAATACTGTTTAATAAATAAATGGAGCATCTACTCAAATATGAGTATCCACTAAAAATAACATTCAAAGTGATAAAAATCTGTAGGATTAGTAAATAAAATATCCCTTAGTTCTTTTATATATATATATATATATATATATATATATATATATATATATATATAGGATATTACACTGAAAACATGTTAAAATCACTACAGATTTGCAGTCGTGTTTCAATGCATATCAATGCTTTTCATCAGTTAATTGTAAATTACTAGCCAGTGAATGATTTATTTAGATTTAAAAGCAAAATACAACCTCTTTTTATGAAAAAAGAAAAAATGTGGTAGATTATAAGGTTTGTGAGCTTTACTGTGTTCAACCAATCAGATATAACCTATGTTAAATTTAAACTAATCAAAGAAGCAAAAATTTGAAAATCATTTTTATAAATGGGTCATGACACGTAAATTGGGAGCTAATGACAGCCAGACATAAACAGATACATAAATGGATGCGTAAATTATATAAACTAGACAATGTTATTACCTAAGAAATAAAAATAGGCTGGGGAGGTAATTTAGCAAAATACTAAACAAGTTATGTACTTTGTGAGTTTCCTACATAAAAGTTTTTTATAGTTGATAAATAAATATCTTCTTTAAGAAACTAGTAAATAATTTAATCATATAGAATTATTTGGTAAATTAATATGCAACTACTGAATAAAGATTCTTCATATAAGATGTTAATAACAATAAAGCAATCAATGGAAAATATAAAAAATACCAACCAAATACCAATAAATCCATACAAGATGTTGCTAATCCTACCAGGAGATTAATACAAAATTATATAAAATCCAACTTAATCTTACAAATAGAAAGATAAGCCATATATGTTGCAACACAATACAACTAAAATATAAATATAAGAAAAAGCATAATCAAATTCCAAAGTTTAACTAAACTGTAAGATAAAAAGAAAACTATATTTACAATTTACTGTTAATTCATTCCTTTGATTTAATAAGAAATTTTTTTGAATCTGATAATTTCCAGTTTTTCATGTAAGCACAGAAAACAGTGTTCGTATAAAGATCTACATGTCCTTTTCCATTTCATCTTAGGAGTCTTATTATTGTCTTTTAAACTCCAAAAATATTTAGAAAGTGATGTATTATTTATGTAAGTACTATTGGTGAAGAACAAGGTATGTTGATACCACCTAGTCTTGAAAGAATTCTTAAGACCACCAATATAGAATTTTTCAACTATCGAATCCTCTGTTAGAGAATACAAAGATAAAGAGATTTAGTTAAACATTTGTTCGGTAATGGCCATTGGTCAGAATTCTTACAATTACACTGGCCAGTATAATTAATATTTTTCTTTGAATGTGTATTATGATCCAGATTATTAAATTGGTTTAAAATTTTATTATTGTGTAACTTTATAATCTTCTCAAGATTATTGGGACAGCTATAACTTAATTTAATGTGTTAAAATTTAACGTAGTTCATATTTGATTGGTTGATCAGAGTAAAATCCACAAACCTTATAACACCCACCTTTTTTCTTTTTTTCATAAAAAGTGGTTATATTTTGCTTTTAAATCTAAGTGAATTGTTCACTTGCTAATAATTTACAATCGCCTGATGAGATGCATTGATACACATCGAAACATGACTGCAATTGTGTAATGATTTTGACATGTTTTCAGTGTAATATTCTAAAATAAATAATATATTGCTTTACTTTGTATTGAGCCCTCTTAAAAATTAATGTTTCAAATGTTGGAATTGTACTCTATTCATTCTCATTTTATATATGGATATATATATATATATATATATATATATATATATATATATATATATATATATATATATATATATATATATATATATATATATATATATATATATATAATGTGTGTGTTAGAGTGGCTGGAAGGTTGATCTTCCAACCATGAGACCTGGATTCTAATCTCACCATGTTGGATTTGTCAGGGAGGTGACTTTTTGATGATATTGACCTGGGAAGACAATCTGATCATGAGGCATCATTGGGAAGTGTCAGAAAATCATATCGCAAGTTGGCTGAAGCCTTGTGAGTGAAATTGACTGTTCAAAATTCATCAATGGTTGTTTAAGCAAGGAATGTGAAGTTATCATGACTGAGGGTTTGAATGTACTACCCTGGTTCAAACTGTTAATCACACCAGATTATGTTTTCCCTTTTAGAAATTGTAAGATAATGAATACCTTCTTGCAATACAATATATTCAGCTGATGACATTGAATATTTTAACATAATCTCTATCTATAAAATGCAGGATGTGTGTGTGTGTAACAAATGCACGGCCACAATTTTCAACAAATTTGCACCAAAATTTACGTACACATGCTCCAAGTTAGCAGGAAGGCCATGACTGACTTTGCATTTCCCAACTCCCATCGATAGTGGATATAATCGATTTTTTCATTCTTCTACAGCAGTTTTCATGTAGTTTGCGGCCATTTTCTACTGGCCAGAGTGAGAGCCTATAGCTGGCTGCCACGAATAGGCAGGAAGAATCTATTGGCCAGCGTGAGAGCCAAGAGCTGACTGACACAAATGTTAACTAGCATGCTAGCATGCAAAAAAAATCAATAGCTGCATTCGTCACAAGTGGGAAAAATTTAAATCTGCATGGCACTTTACTCCAATTGGCTCATTCGCTTGCTTAAACTCAACATTGATTCTGATTCTACAGAAGTGGGTTGGGTGTGAAAAAGTATTTGTTGTTAACATTCTTTTTTTCATTCGGTTTTTCCAGTTACGAGTCCTTTTTTAAAGCTGATCGTTTTGTGCTCATTTTGTTTAGTTCTTTTTTCGTAACAGATTTAATGTTTAGTATAGAGCTTAAAAAAAATTTGCAGTGTGAGATAGGCAAGAAGTAAGGCATATAGCAACATCAGCATGGCAAAGGGCACTCCTTTAAAGGCAAGGAAGAGCAAAAATATTTTAAGTCAAGTGATAGCGATTGCTGTATGAGTCGAACAATTTTTTAATCAAGCACGGGCAACGCCAGGCCATGCTGCTAGTATCTTATAACTTCCAAGCCTGCACCCTAAACAAAACCAGGATCAAGGTGTTGTACTTCTGATTCTTTTTATCTTGTCTCCTTTGACCAAGTTCTAATAGCTCAGTGGTGAAAAAACTGGCTGGTCACATTCAATGCAGCAAATACCAAACTAGAGATGTTCTATCATCACCAAGTGGACACTGAATTTTTGTCTATCACAGTGAACGGGTGTCCTCTCAGTAAAGCCTTGTACTTTGAGCAACTATTGGGACTTATGCTCACCCAAGATCTGAAGTGGAACACATATATACAATCCATCACTGAAGATGATGGAAAAAGGGTCAGTTCTCTGTATCATTCCAGTAAATACCTGGCTCCTCCTGCTACTTTTACAAGAGCCAGATCAGGTTGGAAATGGACTACTGCTGCTATATATGGACAGCAGCTGCCAAGTCTTCACTTTCCAGTCTCGATAGGGTCCAAAAGTGTCTAAGCGGCCCTGTGGGTGATGAATTAGTTAAGCAAGTGAAAATATAGTAAGTTTGCTGAGTTTATTATTATCATTATTATAATTAATATAAACATTAAAAATTATTAAAATGTTTCTCTTATGGTCAGTTCTATGTAGCTATGTCCAAAGTAGGAACATGCAAATGGACTGAACATAATGATAAAAAGAACTTTAGAAAATAGATGTTTTCTGAAAATGTTGTTAATACAGAAATTTTAAAGAGTTAAGAAAACTTCTATGACAACTTGCTTTTCTCTGATTATAGAATGGGTAATTGGCTAGTACAGATAATGAATGGCATTTTGTAATACATTATAGTCAGCTGAAGACTTTAAATCTTTCAACTGAATATCTTATAACTTCCGAATATGTACCCAGATCAAAATCAGTCTCATTCTGCAAGGTGTTGTTCTTCTGATTCTTTTTATCTTGTCTCCTCTGACCAACTTCAAACAGTGGTGAAAAACTGGTTGGTTACATTCAATGGGATTATCTAAAAAAGTCAAAATAATCAGTTTTATTAGATTTTTTTTCAAACTGTACTGAATTATTTAAACAAGTGAAAAAATAGTAAGTATGCTGAATTAATTTTTCTTCTTCTTATCCAAATGTATTCTCTCATGGTCACCTCTATGTTGCTATGTCTAGAGGAGAAGGAACTTCAAAAGGACTTGGCATAATAAGAAAAAAAAATTTAGGGAGATATGAAATATGTATTTGATTAACGCAATATCCCCTATAACAATAAATTATGATTTTATTATTTTACAACTTGCTCATTGACATTCTATAAACTTTAATCTTTCCACCACTGCTTTTGTAACTTTACTGGAGTTTTAAATACCACCACTAAAATCACAATACCTAAGCTTTAAATTAATTTTTAAAAATGAAAAAGCTTTCTTGAAACTTTCATTTTAGATTTAATTGAAAGCTAAAGTATTAAATTTACTATTTCCAGTAAACAAAATACTCTGGTGTATTTCAAACAAATTATATTGATTGGAGTCGATTTTCTTTTCTTTTTTTTTTTTTCAGTAACATTGCCAAGACATCCATATTTTAGACATTTGTAAACATGAGGTAGTTCTCAGCTTTAAAAATCTTGCGAAAATAAAATGTACTTTTCTGAAACTTTATTTGAGGAATATTAGCTGATTTAAAGTAAAATTAATCAGATTTAAAACATATTATTTACTTTAAGTTTAAAATATCACAGAAAGCATTTTTTTAACTTGACAGTAGCTGTCTTTTTAACCAACAGTAACCGTGTTTATGTGTTTGACGAAGTGATGAAAGATCTAATGTTGTTCTACAGAGATTTTTTTGTAAAACATAATTTAAGAAAATGATGTAAGCATTTTTTTATATAATTTTTAAGTATTCCGTAATCTTAAAAATTTTGGAAAATATTCTCCATAATCTAATTTTAGGAATGTTGAATTTAAATTTACTATAGTCATCACTCTTATTTTCTGATAATGTTGTGTATGGTCACCCATACTTACAAAAATTGGCATGTTTATACATAAAAAACAGAAATTCAAAATTGTTTTAAAAATCTTGCGTGTGATGATTTACATTAAGCTTTTCCATTTATGATTAGGAAATATGGTTTTCTCTTAATAACAACATTATCTAAAAAGCAGAAATGAATACAGAATTTAAAAAATGTAAAACTTTTTAAGTTATTATAATTAAAATTTAAAAAGAAATGAAAACAATTCTCATAAAAATTCCTTATTCAGCAAAAATAATTTTTTCTTAAGACAATAGTGTCTTTAATATATCTTTTTTATAAAAGCAGTTAAAAGCTTTTATAATGAAATAATGTCATAGTTTTATTGCATAATTTATTTTACAATTCCGAACAGATTTTCAGTAAATGAATAACTAAAAAAAAATGAAGATTTGCATTACCCAAGGAGTCTCGCTTTTAACCAATATAAAAAATAAGTGGATTAAAATTTAATTTCTTGAAATTTCATAAAATTACATAAGTAGGGTAACATATATAAAAGAAATATATCTTTACCAAGATTTTCTAAAAAAAAATTTTTTCACGAATAATTTCATTCATTTGTGAATAAGTCCTATAAATTTCATTAAAAATCTGACAAATATTTGATTTTTGCAAGAATTTCCAAAACAATGTATTTTTTACCACCAAAAAGATGCTAAAAATTCCCATAGTAATCTTTAGCCCATCTGTTGACAAAAAAACAAGATTTTTAATCCAAATTTTGACCATGCTAGAAACAATTCAAAAATTTAATAAAATAAGGAAACAATACTTTGATCTTTCTTCTTAAATAATAAACATTTTGACAATAAATCATGTTTCAATCAATTTGGGGGCCCTTTTCACCATGCTATGCTCTTTTTTTAGTGAAAATTGGAGGTATCTACATTACTTATAGCATTTTTTTATAGATCAAAATTTTAAATCCACTGTATTTATATAATAAATATGTGTATTAATATTATGAAGAACCTAATGTTTAATCTTTGTTGCTACATTCGTCATAGTGTTATTTTACAATGAACACAAATACTCTGCTTCATAATAAATTTTGTGCATGTAGAATATTGCAAATATCTCATGACGTGTGAATTAGCATTAAAATTGGCATTGTCAAAAGTTAAACAAGTTAAAAAGATCAAATGATAAATATTAATTGATAATTTTTTTGTAATTTTAAAAGTAATACTTTGAATGTTTCATTTTGTTTTTCCTTAACCAGCTGAAAGCCCAGAATGCTAAAGAAATAAAGAATCTTGAGAGGTTATTTGAGATGAAAAATGAGTAAGTTCAGTTTTTGTTTTATGTAAACAGTATCTTACAAATGAGGATTTTGATTTTTCATGTCTTGGTCAATATTTATCTGCATGTTAACAATTTTTTTTATAGATTTTGGATGTATGCAGAATGAAAGCACACACACATTTTTTTGCCTATTAAATTTTAAAACTAAAAAGATCTCTCTACCAAATGTAAACAAATTTATTAATGACTGGAATAAATGAAATTTTCCCATTTTTTTAATTATGCAAGGTGGGAATGCCACTAGTATGCAGGGGTTTACAGAAAGTGAAAGTGAGAGAAAAGACTGACTATAGGGAGGATAGGAGACATAGTGGAGTAATGGATAGTGGCTTGCATTGAGGAATCGGAGAGCAGAGTTCAAATTCCAGTTGAATCCATTACCTTCACTTATGTGTGAATACCCTTGAGAAAGATATGAATCCTCTTATTCTCCTCCCCCAGCTATGGGTAAATAGCAGGAAAGACCAGGTTCTATAACCTTGGATGGCAACTGGTCTACTGCAGAAAGTAATGGCAACCTACTGCGGGAAAAAAATCTGCCTCGTCAGTCATGTATCGAATGATACATGATCGCCTATGGGTGTATCACGAATGGCACATAACTGACTGATAGGGAGGATTGAGGAATGGACAAAAAATGAATGGGATTCAAGCAGACAGATGGCAATTAACATTGCATTTAAATTTTTGAAAATTGTAATTGTGGGAAGCAAGAAAACAAGAAACTTCCACAGGTGGGAAGTGTGAGAAAAATAACTGTTGAAGTAGAAATAGCAGTTATATTTTATGAGACCTAGATGCTAATCTAGTAGCATGCTTAAATTCATGTAGTCAGGGCACCAGGAAAAAAAGCTTGTTGGAGTAGTTGCCATATCGCAAAAGTGGTAATCAATTGTTGGTTGTTCAAACTATACATATCTTACTATCATACATCTGTGGCATCGACTGAAGTTGGGATCATAGTGTCATTGTGACCTCAATGATCCTTTGAATAAGTTTTTTCTTCTCCTAGACTGGTTGCCAACTACAGATTGAATCCTGCTATTTAACCCATATCTGGGGGAGAATAGTTGGATTTAACCCTTTCCCAAGGGTATTTGTGTAATAGTGAATGTAACAAACTTGTCTAGAATTTGAACTCGGCTCATCAATTTCTCATTCCGTGTTGCTAACCATGACACCACCTCACATTTGCATAGTAAATGATATTTTCATCTTTCAATAAGAAGAAATAAAACAATAGAATAGAAATCAGTCTTTGTAATTCAACTTAATCAATTTAATCAAATAACTTCTCTTTAAAAATGAATAAAGATATGACCTATAAAAGAAATTCTTTCTTATTTATATTAGTTACATGCAGACTTGTCTTCAGCTTTGTTGTTATTATCACGTTTCGAGCATTGTGCTCTCCAGCCTTCATCAGGTGCTTACCGAATAATCGTCAGAGAATTTTGTACTAAACCCTTTATTTAATCTATAGATTCTTTTCATTCTAGTGACCATGTCTAGAGATATCTCATCTAGTTCTTATTTAGTACTTTTCATTTATTGCTTAACTTGTTTCCACTGAGTCTAAGTACATATGGCTCAGCCCAGGAATTGATCTCACAATTACTATGTTCACAATTTCATGAACAAATGCTTTGATCCACTAGGATATTGTCTTTGATAATATCGATATGGGAAAATTCTGAGTGGAGAAGTTGTTGTCTTAAGCGTCACATGCCTGAGGGTGAATTCTTTCCTCTTTTTTAAAAGAACCAGAAAATGTCTTCTCTCATAGAAAAAAGAATCTTAGTCTTTGCTGTTTCTAATGGCTCATGAATAATTACATCATTTGAAGACACTATATATTTTATACATGTGAAAATCTATATCCATTTACAGTTTATTGCAAGAATAACTTGATTTTATATTTTCTAATAAACCCATAAAGGTTGGCATAATTAGAGGCCAGATCAATGCAGCTTTTGTCTATTTAAATTTCAAACTAAGTTATTTCTCTCTCGAGAAAAAAAAATAGGAGATAAAAATTCCTTCATGTGATTCTTACCGATAGATTTTTTTTCTTCTTATTTGCTCTTAGTAATTGGCTGGAACTCTTGGTTTCTCTTGACTAAGAGAGTCTTAAGATTTATTCTGCTGCCTAGCTTTATTAATAAGTCTGAATGGCATTCATCCAAAACTGTTCTGTCTGCTTCCTTTTCTACTGCTTGCTTGCTTGCTTGGTTGTTTTGTTTTTACAAAAATCAGCCTGTTTCGGGTTTGTTTTTGTTCTCGTTTTTTTCGTACGTATGTGTCTATACAATAAAAACATCATAAGACTAAAAAAAATAGATAACATTAATGAGACAAAAAAAAGTGGATCATTAATTTAACTAAATTAATAACCATTCACTTTTTTTCATTTACTAATGCCTTTGTTTTCTTTATTTTGTATTTAACCTTTCTTAAGAAAAACCATATTTTCTCTTGAGATTGATAGATATTTATACCTATTGAATATAACAGATTTTACAAGTATATTACATCCTGTTTACTCAAAATGGTATCAGTTTACCAATACTTATGGATCTAAATTTTAAAAAAATACCATAACTTCTTAATTTTTAATACCTACCATTTCCAATTCATATCTAATTTTCGATGTGTCATGGATAATATGAAAAGTGAAATTGGAGGTCTGAGTTCAAATTTCAGATTAGTCTCTTGGGAAATGTATGAATCCATCTCTTCACCCTCTAGCTATGGGTTAAATAGCAGAGTAGATTGGGATCTCTTGGGTGTCAACCAGTCTAAAAGAGAGAAAGCCTTGAATTCCAAGTCAACAGGAAACCACTATATTTTGCAAGAATTCATGACAATTCACAGATACTGAAGAAAAATCAGTGGCTAGTCATGATCACGTCCTAGAGAAACATGATCATGAGAAAAGAAGCAAACTTTTAATAATTTGTTGAAGCTATCTTTTATGGTTTTTCTAATTTCCTATAACTCTTTTTGGTATGGTTTCTAACATGAAGTCATTGTTCATAGATAACTATTATCAAACATCAGGAATTTTATTGAGTTAAAATTTCATACAGAAGCATTGTTAAGTGTTGATTGTTAGGTCATGGTTTAAAATAAGTTCAACTCAAAAAGTCCAATGCAATAACTGAAATGTTCTCACATAATAGTCACTTCAAGAAAGAAATAAAATTTCTAACTGCTCACGAGTAGAAATAGTTTGCTTTTATAGTTTTCAGAGCATGTGTATGGTCTAGATCACAGCTGTAAACAATTGTGGTAATTCAACCCGTTTCTCAGGACCCAGGTAACACTGACAGTAGCCATGTTGATGGTGGTAAGCCATCAGTCAGGTTTCATCTCTCAGCAACACCTCCTACGGAGTCATTTATTTTTTTAATTGTTGGCCACAACATTCGTTCCTCCTGTGGTTGCCATTACTGCTACAAAAAGTTTGTTTTCTTTTCCATGTGTTGGTTATCATCCAGTAATGTAAGAGAAATTAATATATAGATTTTTACTTCATCACCAACTAAATAATTCTAAAAAAAGAAAAGAAAGACATTTGTACCACAGAAATGCAGCTGCATACAATAATGGAATTAGCACACTTAGAGGATATTCACTTGGGTTTGTTTTTATTTAGCAGTAAATAAATTAATCACAGATTAAATTATGAAAGATTAATTAATTATTAAAGATTGTTTATTTACACTATTTATTTATTAGATTGTTTATTGGAATGGTTGGCAAATTTAGTGTTGCAACTCAGATCAGACACCAGGTTCATTCTCAGGGTGCAGCTTCTTCCACTCAAACACTTTTGCCTTAATATATGGAAAATAATTCTTTGGCCAGATCATTACTCATGAAATAAAACCATGAGACAAAATTGTAACACTTGGCAAATTTTATTCTATTGCAACTTTATGCTGTAGATGAGCAAGGAAGAGTGAACTGAGGAGGAAAAGTCGTGTGCCTTCATTTCTGTATGGTCATTAGATAGTTTCAGTCTTTGGCTGCTAGGGGCCACTGTCTATAGATAACCAGCCCTATTTGTCCTGTCACCTTTTGTCTAATAAATCATTGTCCACTCCACTCAGCTGACCCATTTTGTCAGGGTCATTTGACATGTTTCTTTTAGGGTTCACTTCACTCAGCTACCTTCTTTGTCAAGACAATAACTGCTAAAACAATTTCAGTTACATTTTTCAGATGTTTCCTTTTAAAAGATATGAGCTGACAACTGATGTTGCTATACAAAAGATTGTCTAATTGTCAATTAATTCAAAGTTTATAAAATGGTAAATAATAAGGATTTCATTATAGTTGGTTCATGTATTTTAATAATTTAGTAAATGTTTATAAATTTATGACTAAAAAATTGTTTCCATATTTATTTCTTTATAAATTGGTAAATGATAACTATTGCATTAGTTTTAATTGTATTAATTTCTAGAATGTAATTATAAAATTATTCCTATAAATAAACTAATAAATCTTATAAATAGTGTGTAATATTTTTGTTGTAAATTCTAAATAGCAAAAACAAAATGTGTAAATTCACTTTCATCATATGTTTAAGTTTTATTACAATTCCAATCATCGTTTTTAAAACAATAAATATTGCCAAGTAGTGAAGGTAGTTAAAAACATAAAATAAGACTCAAATCATATCAAAGTAGAACTTTCACTGTTCTCTCTCTCACACACACACACACACATATATATATATATATATATATATATATAAAAGCAAAACAAAAGCCGTTGGTGGAATATATATGTATGATGGTGCTCTAATAATGTATTTATCTTTAATTTCAAATCTTGTATTTAATGATGCTTTCTAGTTTTGTATTTACATTTAAGTAATGTATTTTTTTTTAGTTCTGTAATTATCATTATGTTCAAATGTTACATTTTTTTCAGTCTGTTATTTACTATTTATTTTTATTTTCAAATGGATTAAATAGCAGGGTAGAGTGATAACTCTAGCCTTGAGTGGCAGCCAGTGTGTGAGTACTCAGAATTTAAAACTGTGAAGACAATGGGAAATTACTTTATTATCTTTCTCAGTAGGTTTGCCTATTGACCAGTTCACAATCCTTCCTAGTCTTTTGAACAGGAGAAGAGGTTAATCCCTTGTTTCTTATTTAGGATTGGATTTCCAGTTCATTCTAAAATCTTTTCTTCTCTTCCCTTTCCATTAGCACATTGCATCTTAGTGGCATTATTAAGGTAAAACTTTATTTTGAGCCCTGAAACAATTTTTGTTTTCAAATTATATGTTTTTAAATCATTTCACACCATGAAAGGCAATAAAGCCACTAAGACACAAGGGGTTACTGAGTGTGAAAGAATAAGAAAAAAAGAGAAACATTATTAAAGATTGAGAACAATAGAAGAGTAATCAAGAAGACAGTAGATAATGATTAAATTTTTGACGCTCAAAGTTATCTGGAAAGCATGGAGCTGGAAGAGTTCCACAAGCGAAAAGTGCAAGAAAATAAACTGTTAGCATAGAATTTACAGTTACATCTAGCCAATTCAAGTGTCCATTGATGAGACCTTGGCACCACCAAGTACTGCAGTTTAATTCGTAAAGTCTAGGCATCATAACAAAGAGTTCATCTGAACAATTACCATGAAAGTATTTATAGAAAAGGCACAGGGAAGCTACATTATGGTGGTTGGAAAGTGACTGAAGCCGAAATGCTAAGTTAGGACCAGTAATATTGCTGATTCTTCTTTGGATTTTATCAAGGACCTCCAAATATACAGGAGGAGCACCAGACCATATTTGGCAGAAATATGCATGGACACATGGTAAACTTACAAGTATGTAACATAAATTCTGATGAGAAAATTGTCTAGCACGACACAATTTCTTAGCAGCAGAACTAGCAATGGATTCAATATAATCTTTCCATTTCATGTCAGCTGAGGATTTTAGAGTGAGAGTCACCTCTCCTGGAGGTCAGCATCAGCCATGCTTATGGAATGCAAAAAGGGGTCTCTCAAATGATTAAATAAAAGAAGCTTTGCCCCAGTTAACAGACTGTAGATCATTTTTTAGATCAGCTGCCAATTTGACGTTATTGAACAGATCGGATTTACTATCATGATTAGAGTAAATGTTTGTGTCATCAGCATAGATACCAACTTGAGAACTGCTATCATCAGGAACGTCATTGATGAAAATTAAGAACAAAGTAGGTCCAAGGATAGAACCTGTTTTCTATTCTCACTGATGGTTAATATCCATAATTATCTTGAGATACAAATTGGATTTATAATCATAATTTAATATATAACCTCACTGACATTATTATTATTATTAATAATAATAATTTTATCATGATCTTTACCAGACACACTGTAATCTTTGATGTTTACTATGATTTATTAACAAGTAGAATCTTTCAAATGCTGTTAGTAACAATTTATAATCGGATATCACACCACTCACATTTTATGTTGTGATTGGTTAATTTGGAGAGGTGGGTAGAAGGGCCAGGAAACTCTAGACTGATCAGAGATCGGAGGGTCACACCAAGATGCATTAAGCAGTTATGCCCAATTAAAGAGTCATTCTTCCACTCCCAGTTTTGTTTTGATGCGCAAAATCATATATCACTACAATATTAATAATATTCGATTAAATGCTGAATAATTATTGCACTGTCCATTAGGCATCTTACATAATATTATTCTTAATCTAAAAATCTTTATTTTGCATTTTGTATTCATCAGACGTGAAAGCCAAATCAAACTTCTTGAACGAGAACTTGAACAAGAGAAAGAATTGGCTGACAGTTTGATCAATGACATGGTAAGTTATTGGCTGAATACATAATTTTATTTATTACATAAATTAAATTGGAACCGTCTCAATAAATAAAAAAAAGAATTAACCAGCTTGATAATGAAATAGCAAAGATTTACAATAAGTAAAATAAAAAATATTTCCATTTCTTCCAAATAGAAGAGTAGTTGATAATTTGGATTACTTCAAGGTTGAAGAGAAAAATGCTGCTAGTCTACTCATATCTTCACCCATTTTGTGCTTAGCAGGCTAATGGCTGCTTAAATAGCCTCATCAGACCAAGACTTTCAATTGTATGTCATGAATGGCGCCAGACCTGTTCAGGAATATCCAGATTGTCACCTGTATACAACTGCTTTCTCAGACCAATGTCTAAAGATATATTTGAGCAAGTGAAGCATGTTGGTCTTGGTAAAGACCACACTATTTCAAACCTTGTGGACTGGCGCTACAGAATCACAAAGAACTGTAACAAAAGAAGAGAAACCATATCATTTGAGGACTTGCAACAGCTAACTACTTCAAATAACAGGTTAGGAAGAAAATCCCCATCAATTCTAGAAAGAGCAATAACAACGACTGGACTTGAGAAAACTAATTGTTTTTCGAAAAAGATTTTATAAATTTTAACTGATAGTAGTCTTGGTTGCTTAGTCAATGAACACTAAATATTTCCTTATAAAGAAACAGCTAATATTGCCATTAACCAATTGTATGTAAAGTTTTCAATACTCATTGCCAACAAAGGGGTTTACAAACGATGCCATCCTCCCTAAATAAATGATTTTTTTAAAAATAAGTTTCAGAAAAATAAACTAAATGTGAATAATTCTTATTTTATTACACTAATTCATTCTTAAACTGTCAGTGTAATGTTATCATATGGACCAATAAGAATACATGTTTAAAACTTTTATGGATGGAGTTATTGTTTATTTACCTCCAGACTTTGTCAATTAATACCAGTGAGTGGGTGTATGGCTTTGCAGGTTTTCTTCAAATGAAGAATTTTCTTCTCATGAGGATATGAGACACTTTGAACTTTTCCCTCCACAGATGAAGCACTTATATATCTACCTTTCATTTATTCATCCCATATGTATACACCCTAAGCACAAACTGAGTTAAGTACCTGTTTGCATGTTTGGAAACAGCCACTGACATCCAGTGAAGGCACAAATCTGCACCTGGAGACTAGGAGGTCATCTTCTAGGTTAAATTGCTGATACACCTGACTTCTTTGTTGCATTGTTGTACCTGGTAGCAAGAAGGCCATATTTCATGTCAACCTGAGGATAAACCTGGATCCTCTAATGGTCTGGTGTGCAAAGTCTATTCTGGTATCATCTGAGGTAAGCCCCGTACATACTGGAATTATTGCAGATCACCACTCCCAGAATAAATGTTTAATTGACATTAAACTGGACACTGACACAAGCATTCAAGCATTGTCTTTAAAATGTTGATCATATACAATACATTCACTTCAGTAATTAAGCAGAAATTTGTAATCACAGATATATATATTCTGTTTTGGTTAGTGATTTCGAATTTTGTGCTTAGTTTCTGTCATGCAGGTATAATTGTTTAAACTTTGCCAAGGCATGGCATTTCTCCATTTGAAGGATTTAATCTAAAAATCTTTCTAACCATTAAAATTGACATTTTAAAAAAACAGCAAGGAGTTAAAAAAATCATTTTTTTTATAACTACTGTTAAATTGGAAAGAAAGAAAGAAAAAAAACAAACAAAAGCTGACCATTTTTTGTCTTTCATTCTCCAGGGCTTAATCAAGAACTAAAAGCCCTTCATTTAAATTCACCCCAACACACGTCAATGTATTAATTGGTTGTGTGAATGACAATGGCTCATAAAGCTGCTATCAATCTGCACATATGTGGCATATCAAATCATCTCTGGGTAGTGGAAGGGGTCTTTGATCATCATCACTTCCAATGTGCTCTTTCATATGCCTTGTCAGGCCTGACCTGGACTGGCACACTCTAGTGCAGGTTGGTGTGATCACTACTGACTGAGCAGATCCACCCTGGGCAGAAATGGCCAGGTTGACACTGCATGGCAATTCAGGGATCCCTTCTGAACACCTCTCTTCAGTTCTGTATATTTTTGTGATGCCTCATAGAAAATCTTGATGCCGTCAGCAATACCAGCCCTTCAAGAAACCTGGTCTTCGGCTAGAGTTTCCCAGTTATCCAAACTAATATTGCACTTTTATAATGACTCTGTGGGGAAAATTGTGAAAATGGCCTACCTCAGAAATGCCTGCGAATCTGTGCGATGTGCAAACTCCGGTTTGTGCAGCGGTAAAAGGAACCAAAATGGCGGCGCCCATGTTTTATGCCAAGCGGTCTCTGACAGTTAACGTGAAATCTCGTTGTCTCGTCATTCACATGCAAATCGTGGTCGGTCATCGGCTGTATAAAGCAGGCGTGTTTTTTCTGTTTCGGATCAGAGGGCTTTTGGCTCGTGAGAAGATTGGACATGTGACACCGGTTTTGTCGGTTACCCTCTTCGCAGTTTTTTGTTCCTACCTGCTATTATCAGTTGAGTTGGTGTGTTACCCCCACAAGCTATTTTGGCGATGGACAAGTTCGATCTAAAATTGATCCCAGAATTTGATGGCTCCTCCACGGGCCCGACTGTCGTCAAATGGTTTGAGAAGGCCGAACGTGTTTGCAGGGTGTCCAAAATAAAAGAACCTGCACTGGTCATCCCACTGAGACTCACGAGGGGAGCCTACGCCGTATATCAACAACTCAGGGCCGATGCTGACCTAGAAGAGATCAAGAGTGCCCTATATACAGCTTTTGGAATAGACCCCTTCATCGCTTGGAAACAGTTCGTCAGATGATGGCTCCAGCCGGTTGAGACGGTGGATGTCTACCTGGCCGATTTGCGAAGGCTGGTGGTGCCGTTTGGCAGAGCAACGGACCGCATACTGGGATGCGCCTTCCTGGCTGGACTTCCCGACAACACCAGTCGGCTCCTGCAAGCGTCTTCAAGATTGGACACACTGGGAATTGACGAATTGCTAGCCAGGGCCAGAAACATCTTGAAAGACATGCAACAGGTTGCAGCATCCATGAGAACACCCGAGACACCGCGGGGGGGCCCAAAGTGCTACAAGTGCGGTGGACCCAATCATTTCTCTTGAGACTGCCGAAGTGATGTAGGAGGCGGGAGCAGCCGACAGACACACACGAGTTAGGCCATGTAGCACAGGATTGCTTGGGAAACGAGTCCGGGGATAAGGTGCCGTCACAACCCTTGCCCCCTCTCGGTCAGTAAATGCGGCATTGCCTGTTGTCAACGTGTGCGTTGAGGGTAAACGATGTTCAGCGCTCGTTGACACTGGATGTTCCCGATCGATCGTTAGTGCGGATCGATGCGTGACATGGAGCAGTCAACAAATTCGAGATTCAGACGATTGACGGAGTGTCTTGGGCCTGTTGTGGTGTCAGGACTGTATCAATCCTCAGAGACGGAGGGAATCATGCTAAGGTCGACGTTTTGGTGGCAACAGGAAGAGTGGCTTTTAGGCCTGAATGTAATTTGCCAGTGATCTGCATATATATATATATATATATATATATATATATAATTGCCACACACTTGTATTTGAGCATTGGATTCTTGATTCTCTTTTTCTATTAACCTGCAGTGGCAGTGATGGAGATGGCTGTGAAGGAGATGGCTGTGAAGGTCCAGCCTACTCTTGAAGAGTTGTGAGCAGGAGTCATAGAGGAGTGTGGGTGGTGGATATGATTAGGCAAGTTGGACCCTCCTTAAAGCACATTGCAGATCCTATTCATATCTACAGCTGGACTTGAAAGTCTCATTCCCCACCCACAAGATGGTCCTCCACCAGGGAGTCTGGCTTTCCTAGGTCTCAGGATTAATTTTGGATTGTGTCAGGAATATCTTCAACTGATCCTTAAAGCATTGTTTTGGGTGTCCTGTCGCTGTCAAGCTTTCCAAACGGGATGATACAAAGGAGTCAAGTGGAATGCATTTTAGACACATGCCTCGCCCAGTACAAGTGATGTTGAATGATTGAAGCATCAGTTCAGGGATATATATATATATATATATATATATATATATATATATATATATATATATTAATAGATATGTATATACTGTCTTTATTAATCTTCTTCCATTTTAGTTTCTGCATACGCTCCTTTTAAGTTCCTGATTGAATGCTGATAAGTGAATAATGCAAAAGGGACATGGTTTTGTTTTTTGGTGGGCGGGGGATTTTTCTTTCTCTTCAATATACTGTCTACATAACTATAATAAAATGTTCTTTTTTCCTTTTTCTCTCCTTGCTCTTTTACTTAATTGATTTTAAGTGTCTTCTTTTGATGGCTATAATAAAGTTTTGTACAACCAGGAAAACATTTAATATTAAATCATAGAGGTACCATTTCAGCCCTCTCCAGATGGGAGAGAACATAAATTTTCATTTAAATTTTTTTTCTTTTTAATATCACAAGAAAATATAAACTGATAAATAAATATTTTTCATGTAACATGCAATATAGACATTGTCATCTGCAACATTGTTTTATGGTTTGTCTAATAATTAATATTAATTAAATATCCCTCTCTGAGCAAAGAGTTCAACAACAAAAAAAACATTTAACCAGTCACTTCCCTGCATTCTCTGTTAAACAGGAAATGAGTAACTCCTAAAAAAAATATCCTTCTGTTGCATTTTCAGGAACCAGAAATGAAAAAAACATACTTCAAATTAAAAGATAAAAATGAACATTTCCTTGATATAATGGAGAAAAACCAGCAAGAAATTGATGCCATGAATATCAAAATTCAGAATCTTGAAGAAGTAAGTAAAGAAAAACAAAGTAACTATTCTCAAATCAATCATATTTTTTTTTTATTCTTTGAGTAATTAATTAAAGTACACTCTACAGATTCTCCTGCTACAAAACAAATAAAAAAAAGATAAAAGTGATTTCACTATCATATTTGTAGATGTAAAACAAAAAAAGCTTATAATGGTGAGACTTCTCTTTCATAAGAACTTCTCATTGCATTAATAACAATTAGCTCTAGTACTGAGCATTACAACTCTACTCATGTGGGTAGAATAAGATGTTTCCTGTTGTCTGCAGTTATCACTGTTAATAAACATTAATTTGGGTTTTTTGCTTTAGTTTTCTACTGGATTGAACTATATGTGTAAGTAAATGTTAGTATGTATAAAATTTATTTGTAATCACCCACTGGTTTATTGATATAATGGGGCTGACTATTCATTATGGAATACAGAAAAAAAAATTTTTCATACACTGGAAGCAATTGTCTATTTTTAAATATTTTTATTTTAGTATATTTTTTATCTGTTCTAAGACAGTTTTCCATTGCCTGCTGTTTAATAGATTCTGTTTTGTCAGTTGGAAAAATGAAATAATTTTTTGCCGTGTGCAATACTAGGTTAGAAAATTTTCTATGAACATTACAGTTTGGAATGAAATATAGATTTCAGTGTTAAAAAACACATACACTATTGAAAAATGCAACACTTTGACAAACTAAAGAGTGTTTGATGTTTTATCTTCAGAGGAGCATATCTTCTTTTTGTTCTTTTTCCTATATATCTATATATATATATATATATATATATGTGTGTGTGTGTGTGTGCGTGTTGGAAAAAAAAACATTCCTATAAATCTAGATACATGCATAAAAAATGTAAACAGTCAGTTAAAAATAAATATCATTCTTAATAATGGCTAAAATAGCCATAACTGCTCAAACATATGCCACATTCAGACAAATTTTACATACTTTATGTCCAGAAAAGAATAAAAATAATATGAATACAAGAAAAATTAATAAAAAATTTACCTTCTCAGTTGTCTTTAATAAAACTTGTATAAAAGAGGGATTGCTGCCTAAAAACTTGATTTTATATATATATATATATATATATATATATATATATATATACTAGCAGCATGGCCCGGTGTTGCCCATGCTTGATTCAAAAATCGTACAACTCATACAACAATCGCTATCACTTGATTTAAAATATCTTTGCCCTTCCTTGCCTTTAAAGGAATGCCTTTTGCCGTGCTGATGTTGCTACATGCCTTACTTCTTGCCTATCTCACGCTGCAAATTTTTTTCCAAGCTCTATACTAAATATTAACTGTTACGAAAAAAGAACTAAACAAAATGAACACAAAATGATCAGCTTTAAAAAAGGACTAGTAACTGGAAAAAAACAAATGGAAAAAGAATGTTAACAACAAATACTTTTTCACACCCAACCCAGTTCTGCGGAATCAGAATCAACATTAAGTTTAAGCAAGCAAATGAGCCAATTGGAGTAAAGTGCCTTGCAGATTTAAATTTTTCTCACTTGTGACGAATGCAGCTATCGAATTTTTTTGCATGCTAGCATGCTAGTTAACATTCGTGTCAGTCAGCTCTTGGCTCTCACGCTGGCCAATAGAATCTTCCTGCCTATTCGTGGCAGCCAGCTATAGGCTCTCACTCTGGCCAGTACAAAATGGCTGCAAACTACATGAAAACTGCTATAGAAGCATGAAAAAATCGATTATTTCCACTATTGATGGGAGTTGGGAAATGCAAAGTCAGTCTTGGCCTTCCCGCTAACTTGGAGCATGTGCATGTAAATTTTGGTGCAAATCCGTCAAAAATTGCGACCGTGCATTTGTTACACACACACACATCCTACCTTAAATATATATATATATATATATATATATATATATATATATGAGTCGGAATCAAATATGGATTTGAATCCAACAATGATAAGATAAAGAATAAACAGGAAGCATATATCAATCTAACATTTTTCACTTTTATTAAAGCTTTGTCTGAGACTGAAATATGGAGAAAAAGAAGAATGAAATTCAATATTTTTATTTTTGTGGTGTTTGATTTTCATTGGTCACATGCATTTAACCTTTTTAAACCAATGTTAATGTAATTTATGGTGTTCCGAATTCAAGGAGAGATGTCAAGTCTATCTGAAGTTTCAAGAAACTAATGGATTCCAAGCCTGCCTGAAAAACAAGCATTTTACATTGTTGGGCAAAAGTATGACTAGCACAGCTTACCCTGTGTTCAGTTTCTTTGTCTCATGTATGAAATACTATCGGCTGCTTAAATTTTTTAAAAAGTTCTCAATTTTAAAGAACTTTTGAGTCCGGTTTTAAAACTTTAAATTGTCTTAATTAAATGAAAAATACTAAATGTAAGAATATTTTAAGCTTTTTTTTTATAGCATTTGATCTATTGTAGTTTGTTTTTCTACCAACAAATATGCCCTCATGTGAAAAGAATTCTGTACTTTTCATTTTCAAATTAGCTTCTTTATTTTGTTTTTATCACATTTAAGTCTCCCTCAAGTGTATATAACATCTATTTAACAACAAATTTCAAATTCAACTTTTGGCAATGTTTAACCTTCGTGTCCACAAAAACCATGTGTCTAAAGAATTGTTATTCCCTTGGCATTGCTATTATTATATACACTTTTAACTCCCTCACCAATGTTTATTTGTAAATATATGTGAACCAAGTCTAATGCGATATTTATTATTTACTTTTATAATGATTTATTATTTACCATTTTATAAAGAAACAAATTTGAAAAAAAAAATTTTATTCAGAAATGTATAAAAAGTTACAAAAATACAATATGTAAGAAGAGATTTTCTCAACCTATTTTAATGAATTTATGTGAGCAAATGAAAGGAGTCCCTGAAAATGCAATTTTTAAAAATTTATTAGTTACCCATTGTTATGTGTTTATTTAAATTTTCTTATTCAGACATTTCTATAAATTTATGATTAAAAAAATTTCTTTTTATATTTATTACAATCAATGTATTTATAATGAAATCAGCATTAATCATTGTATTTTTAAAATTTACTAAAATCTATGAAATTGCTGATAAAACATTTGTAATTATTGGAATGATATTCAACAGGAGTTGAAGATAATCTAACAGTTTTTTTTTCTATTATTGAATACTGTTGTAAACTGGAGAATGACGGCTACACTTATTTCTGATCAACCCACCTACTTTTTGTGTACATTACCTTTTACTTATTTTATTGATCCTTAAAAGACGAAAGATTATGTTAAACCTCACAAATTTCATATTACTTTGGTATTCTTCCAACTGACCTCCCAACTATTATTACAGGTGTATAGCTGTCAACTAGATTTTTATGTTCAAGTATATTCTTAAGTTTGTGTTTTCTGGCAAAATAATCCATTGTTTGGTTTCTCTCTTTACTTTCTTTGCAGAAATATTTGTGTTTAATCTGTCACACTGATGTAATTTCATTGTATTCTGATCAGGTTATGATTTCCAATCAGGCATTTCAAATTCCTTCAGTACTTGATGATACAGTCAGAATTAACAAACATTTTATAATGGCTGATTTTAATATGAGTTCATTATTTTTGCAGGAATTAATGATGTCACCTACAAAACAGAAAGCAGGTATGTTTCAATTGAATTTCTTTTATCTACAGAGGCTATAAAATTAATAACAAATGATTTGTTCTGTAAATGATGTAATCAGTTTTAGCATATTTTTACTCTAACATCCAGTATAAAAAATGTGTGTGGATGCATATCTATCAGTTTATCTCTCTATCTCACTGTTTTTATCTATCTATCTCACTCTGCTCATTATATCACTCCTTGTCTTGCTCTCTATCTCACACTGCTCATTATTTCTCTCTACCTCCTTATCCCACTCTGCTCATTACCTACCTACCTATCTATCAGGCTCTTCAGAAAATAATGTCTGATTTTAGATAAACCTCTTAAATGTGTTCTAATACAAGGTCAGATCAAAAAATATTGGGACTGCTGCTATAAAAAGAAAACTACAACACGTATCGATTTGGCATTTAATATCCTTTGAAGTAGTCCTCTTCTAAAGACACACTTTATCCAGCATTGTTTCCATTAATGGAAGTATTCCTTTTTTGGGTCAGCAAGCAGCTACCTCGTCACATTCAGTTGGAACTCTTCGATGTCTTGAAATCTTGTTCCTTTTAAGTGGGATTTGATTTTTGGAAAGAGAAAAAATTCAAAAGGGTGAGATATGGAGAATATGGTGGTTGTCACACCTGGTGAATGTTGTACTGGGCCAAAAATGACAACAGAAGAGTAAATGACAGTATAAGAAAGATGCTCTTCAAACTCTTCAACTTTGAAATACAGGTCACTATAAATATATATATATATATATATATATATATATATATATATTTATTTATTATAATTTTATCATATAGACAAAACCGTTTTACTCACTACAAAGATGCAACTTGGTTTCAGTGCATTTCAACTGCACTTCGAAATTTTAATCCACAAAACACATTCATTGATTACAGAATTAGTAGCGATAACCCCAACATAAATACATGTCATTTAACTCTAGAATTTTTATAGTAAACCAAAAATAACATTCCCAATTACTACTAGAACAATTGCTACAATTTTTACCTACTCAAACATAATACTATCCCCTATCTCCATCTCCCCCCCACACACACCTCTCACTCTTAGGACGCTTGTGAGATGTGCCTAAACTTTTGACTGGTGTTTATCGGCAAAAAGATTTCCACAGCCCTGTCAACATTAAACACCCAATCCATTCTTCACCAAACTGCTATCAACAAGCACTATTGTTTCACTCTGTCACCTTTTTTTTTTATATATATATTTTTCTTCTCAAACAAATGGAAAAAAAGGAAGTGATGTTTCACATACGGCTTGCCTACAACCAGGATTGTTCATAACCATTTTCGATTCTCACCCATCAAAGTGCAGTTGAAATGCACTGAAACCAAGTTTCATTTTTGTAGTGTATAAAATGGTTTTGTCTATATGATAAAATTATAATAAATAAATAATTATTGCTCTACTATCGGTATCAAGCACTCTTTTGGATTAATGCTCTGAACGTTGGCATTTATATATTATTTTTGTTCTCATCGCATCGGATATATATATATATATATATATGGAGAGAGAGAGAGAAAAGGCATGGTGGAGTAATGGATAGCAGCTTAGATTGAGGAATCTGAGAGCCAAGTTTGAATTACAGTCGAATCCATTACATTCATTTGCATGCTAATACCCTTGGGAATGGTATGAATCCTCCTCTTCTCCCCCTGGCTATGGGTAAATAGCAGGACAGGCTGGGTTCTATAGCCTTAGATGGCAACTGGTCTAGGAGAATAACAACTCTGAATTCAAAACCTATGGTGGGTCATTTGGGGACATTGTGGTATGTAGTGCACCAGGTCTCTGTATTCAGCCCTTCAAAAAGTGTGGATGGTTCTGCACAAAACCTTCACCACTATAATCAAATCTCATGTGCTATTGTAGAACTATCGATTCCTAGAAACTGATCTGCTTGACCCTCATATGCTGAATTCAACGGAGACACGTAGTATATATATATATATATATATATATATATATATATATATATATATATATATATATATATAGGGTGCTGTGGATAAATTGTCGTTTAAATTATACAAAAATTAAAACAACATTGAAACCTCATCTTAACAGATATATTTACCACAATTATAGAAAAATATGTAGAAATACTAAAGAGTAAATTTAATCAAGAGAATCAAAATTAGCACCAACACTGCCTCCAGACGACTTCGGAATCTCCTGCATCTCTTCTGGACAGTCTCCTTGTTTATATTGGTAAATGCTGCCATAACTCTTGTCTTCAGCTCATCTTTGGTGTTACAAGGAGTTTTGTTGTTCTCTCAACTTCACCCCACACATAATAATCGAGAGATTGCAGTCACTTGAGTTTGGTGGTCAGATGTAAGGGCTAATGTGGTCACAGAAATTGTTTGGCAGCCATGACTGGATTCTCCTGCTTGTGTGGCATGCTCCAGAGTTCTATTGCCAGACATAGGTCTTCAGCAGCTGCCATCTTGACCCAGTGCAGGCCCTCACCAACACATTTGAGATTTTTTTCTTATCAGAACAGTCAGAGTGATTTTTTTTCCAATCTTTTGTACGTTTGTAATAACCATTAGACTCATCCAACACTTTCTGAATCCTCTGCACCGGCTTTACAGAATCACAAACAATGTACAGAATAACAGAAATGACATTATTTAAGGACTTTCAACAGCAGTAACAACTAAAATGGATATCATTGTAACTCAAGAAGAGAATAATGGCATAATGAAGAGGCTGACATTTTACATTATTTAAAAATAAACAGCAATGATGAAAGCCCTCATAAGTACTTAAAAGAGCAATAACAGTGACTGGATATGAGAAACATATTTTCCTGAAAAATTCTTTTAAGAGAAAGATTTTATAAATTTCAAATGAAAGTAATACTGGCTGCTCAATCAATGAATGCCAAATGTTTCCTACTAAGGAAACATCTAATATTATCATTACCACAACTATGGGTAAATATTAGGGTATACTTGGCTGTTTAGCCTTGAGAGGACAGTCAATCTGTATGGTTGTACTAGACATATGTAATATTACTATTACTGCTGTAATTACGATATATAATATATTTTATATATATATATATATATATATATATATATATATATAGTAAAGGTAAAATGAATCCATGGGTATATAATCCGAGTGGATCCTAGTAGCATAAAAAAATTAAAATTGATACACAAAAGAGAATTCAATCTATTTTATTTATACAGAGCAATATGATATATATATAATACACCCACAGCTTTATGAGTTATGGAATTTTAAAAAAGAAGTCTCTAACTGGTATTAACTTTTAATTCCTCTATAATATTTATATCCTATCATATCTCATAGAAAGGATAGTAACTAATCTATAAAATGGTATACATTTGATGGAAAAAGGATTATACTCTGTTTTTATGTTCATGTTTTGTGCCTATTCTTTCTTTCCTAATATAACATAATTTTATTCTGTGCTTATATTTTTACAGATTCAGTCTCTTTGGTACCTCTTTATTATCTGACAGATTTAAACCTTTTCCTTTTCAATATAAACATTTAGTCTTAGACCATCACTGAACATAGGGATAAGTATTTTCGCAACAGTGCCAACACCAAACTTTTGTCTAGCAAGAATGTATAAGCTACTCATAAATTCTTGTTTGATGTCTATTTTTTTCCCCTTTACACGTCTTACCATCTACTTTATATTCTTACCTTTAATTCTTCTGTTCTGCCTATTTGTTGTTGTCAGTGCGTCTGTACAAACGTATGCATGACTTGGAGGCTCAGAAGAACAGTCTACTCGAAGAGCTGAATTCAAAAGAGAGTCCCGAGGAAGAAAGGAACCGCCTTCTGCAGCAGCTAAAGTCAGATAATCAGGAAATTGCCAGCATCGAACGCCAGTAAGTAAGCAAGCAGTGAAGGGGCTTAGCAAACATTGAGGAAGAGTTGCCAATATAATCATCTCCTCTAGATTTAATTCGTGTATCTCCCCCCCTCCTCCGTGTCCCTCGTTGCCATCAATTCTGTCAATATGATAACGTTCCTTTTCAGGTTTGTATTTATATTCTATACTAACAGGGAAATAAGTCGTATTCTCTAACAATAAAGCAAAGAATGTATATGTATTTCTGTAGTTTATCTTTCACTCTCTCTCTCCATATATATATATATATATATATATATCAGCTGTGTTATAGCTTCTTAGCCACATTCAAACTGAATCACTGCAATGAAAGATCCAATGGGATATCTATCAAGTTTAGGACAAGAAAATTTGACACATTTTTAACTTCAAAACGATTTATTTTGTCAGAATAAATTATGTTCATCACAAAAAAAACTATTTCAGCATCTGCAGAACTTACAGCAATGATATTAATTATATTTTTAGCTATTATATATAAAAGTATTTTCAGATAATCCAACAACCAGTTCAATAGCTTCTATAATCTTTAGAATTGGTTTACACAAACCGGTAAGATGCATACATTCTATACATGATATTGAGCATTTTAACCCATAAATATAGCATACCTTAGAATGATCATTCAGTTGACACTCCTCCCAAGTATTTTAAATAGCATTAGAGTTTTATCTCTTGCTTCCTGTTTAGAATTGGGTTTCCAATCTTCTCATTCTCTTTCACTCCCAGTAGCTCTTTGTATCTTTGTGGTATTATTGTCTTTCTTGGGGTGAATTAATTCAATATATATATATATATATGAGGAGGCATGGTGGAGTAATGGATAGCAGCTCAGATTGAGAAATTGGAGAGCTGAGTTTGAATTCCAATTGAATCCATTACATTCACTTATATGCTAATAAATACTGTTGCGAAAGATATGAATACTCTTCTTCTCCCCCCATCTATGGGTAAATACCAGGACAGACTGGGTTCTATAGCCTTGGATAGCAATCAGTCTAGGTGAAGGACAACTCTGAATCCAAAACCTGCGGATAGTCATTTGCGAACTTTGTGGCACACAGTGCACCAGGTCTCTGTATTCGGCTCTTCAAAAAGTGTGGTTGGTTCTGCACAAAACCTTCACCACCATAATCAAACCATATGTGCAGGTATCTGGCTGTCAGAAGAACTGAGTGATTTGACCCTCATACATGAAATACAACAGGAGAGTTCAGCATATATATATATATATATAGCAATAATATATATATATTAATGCTATAAATTTTATTTTTAGTGAGTACACATTTGAATTACTATCCCTGTTATTTTTATTTTCTTAAACAGTGAAATTGATAACAGAGCAACAAGTCTTTAAAAAAAAAAATCTGTCTCCTGACAAGAATTGAACCTTTATTCACTTTTTCCATCAGCAAAACCACTCCAGTAGCCAAAGCGATACCAATTTGGGCAGAGGAGACCATCTTGACAGGTTCAATTCCTGTCAAGAAACATTTTTTTCTGTAGAACTTCTTGATCTAGGCCTGTTATTATTAATTTCACTGTTTAAGAAAATGAAAAGAAAAAATAGGGAAAGATAAGGATAAGCTGCTCCCAAAAGTGTCTGTCTAAGATTGCACACTGGAAAAAAGAGTGCTTAATGCCATTCTTCCTGCTTCTTACTTTCCAGTCAACTTTGATCTTCAAAAATTTATCTTCTGTCTTCTTAATTCCTGTTCTTTTATTGTTCTCCTTAATAATATTATTATTGTTCTATTTCCTTAATAATATTTCTTTTTCTCATATTCCCTCACACTCAATAACCCCCTTGTGTCTTAGTGGCTTTATTGCTTTGCTTGTGGTGAAATGAGAAAGGAAATATCTGGAATAGCTAGAGGTCATTCCATTAATTTGATGGGCAGTAGTCATTGCAGAATTTAAAGGAACATTGTTTTGTATGAATATATTCTTTAGTTTTAAGCTTTTTGTTTGTCACCTGTACCATTCAAAAATAATTACAATTACAATAACTCTGTACTTATCTTGGTACTATCAACAATTTTAAATGGACCTGTAATTTTACTGTCAATAGTAGCAGCAAATATTATTCTATGTCCTCACTATTGTTTTTTAAGTCAAATTGTTTGATTATTTTCATGAAGGGTCCAACCTCTAGTTTAGTCACCAGGTCCATCCAATGTAGTTCTACATTCATCATGGAAAATTATTCTTGAGAAATCATTTTTATACTCTTCTTTATAACACACTGATTGTTGAAATGTTTGTGAGGAAAAGAGCACTATGACACAATTCATTCTGCCAGAAATTTGGAAATGGCATGTGGTACTGCTTGGCATTTGTGCTGGAAATGCCAATACGAACATTTCAGACTGTTTGGGTGTCAATCTGAGGACAGTGCAGAGGATTCGGAAAGTTGCAGTCAGCATCATGGTGTTTGGAGTGATCACCATATATATATATATATATATATATATATATATATATATTGCTTCAGGCATTATATTTAGTGGATAGCCATATTTGAGTAAACAATGTTTTATTTTTTAAACAATGTATATTTTGCCTATCAGTCTGCTTAGTCAAAAAAACTTGATGATTTTTATTATAACTTTTCTTAAGTATGCAAGCAAAATAAACGAGAATCTTCTCAAATATAGGTATTCACTCAAATAACATTTAAAGTCATCAATGTATACATAAATGGTGCAAGGAATAAATTGTCATCTAAATTACGCAAAAATGAAAATAACACTGACATCTCATTTTAACAGATATATTTACCAAAATTACTCAAAAATATCTTGAAATACTAAAGGGTAAATTTATTCAATAAAATCTCCATTGCCTTTAACCACGTCCTCCAGGCATCTTCAGAATCTGCAACTCTTCTGGACAGTCTACTTGTTTAAGTTGGTGAATGTTGATATAATCCTGGCCTTCAGTTCATCTTTGGTTTTACTAGGAGTTTCGTTGGTCTCTTACTCAACTGTGCTCCACACATCATAATCAAGTGGGTTGCAGTCTGGGGAGTTAGATGTTGCTGTAGTCGCAGAACTTGTCTGACAACCATGACTGGGTTCTTCTGCTTGTGTAGCATGGTGCAGAGTCCTGTTACAGATATAGGGTCTTCCAACAGCCAGCCTCTTGACCCAGGGCAGCACTACCTCCAAAAGGCATTTGATGTAGGCCTCCATGTTGAGTTTGAGGCCATCACCAACAAATCTGGGAGTTCTTTTCTTATTAGAATGATCAGAGTGAGTTTTCTGAGCTGCTGTACATTTGTAATCACCATTAGATTCATCCAACTTTTTCTAGATCCTCTGCACTGTCCTCAAATTGACATCCAAACACATTTAAATGTTTCTATTGGAGCTTCCAAAATGAATGCCAAGCAGTGCAGTATGCCATTTCCAAATGTCTGGCAGAGTGAATGGTGCTCTTTTTCTCACAGACATTGCCCAACTGACCCTACTAGACTATGCAGTTGACAAAATCAAAAACAAACTACACACCTACACAAAATTAAAAATACAAAATGGCGACAATTTACCCATTGGATCCTGCTTGTCTTGTGTGTATGACTTAGTAGAATTATTCATGTTTATACATTATTATACAACTTTATAGACATTTTTAACAAAAATTGATTGATAAGTACCTGAAAACCACACTATGGTTTACCCAAGGCTTGTGAGTGAAATTAAGTAGATACACTTGTTCATGGTTGTGCTAGCATGAAGTTACAAGTCACCATGACTGAGGGTTTGAGCGTACTGGCTTTGTTCAAAATGTTGCTGACACCAGATGATACTTTCTCTCCCAGAAACTGTAAAACCTGCTCAGCAAAGCTGAAGTGTAAATCATAGGTGGGTTCTGTGGATGTTAAACAAACACAAATGTCCCTGGTACAGGCATATGCAACAGAGATTGGCTAGCCACCTTAGCAGACAAGCATACTTGGAAGTCAGCAGCCAGCCATTGCTAAACAAAATGCATGATCTCTCAAGATTGGGTGATTTTATTTTGGGTGACAAGTGAAAAATATTTTGAAATACTGCACTCCTTTTCAAAGTTATTATTATTATTATTAAGTTGAAGACTAAAATTAACACAATCACGTTTAGAATATTTTTCCCCTAAATTCATTTTCATCTAGTTATTATCATTTTTATTCATCTAGTTATTATCATATTATTATTTTTTTTTTTCAGGATTCAGTCACTGCAAAATGAATACCAAATTTTACAGGATGAAATGAGGCAACTAGAAAGTGACATTCAAGAAAGCCAAAGTAAGTAATCTCTTGGTTGTTTGACTACATTTTTTTTTTTCTCACATCTAGGCATATATATATATATATATATATATATATATATATATATATATATATATATATATATATAAGGTTTGATCAAAAAGTATTGAGACTTGCTGTGGTGACAGAGGCAAGGTATGCAGAATGAAACCACTTGGCACAGATTGATCTTGAACTCTGTCATGCATGCACACTAAGTTATAAGGTTCTTACTCACTTCCGTTGTCTATAACAGTTCTTGGAAGGAAAGTGTGTAGAGTGTGGTCATCTCATCACACCACAGAGGTTTCATCAGTGACCATGGCTTGTGCAGCTGTTTTTTGCCAATCTCCAGATTCTCCAGATGCGGCAACCACCATATTCCCCAAATCTCACCCCTTTCGAATTTTTTCTCTTTCCAAAATCAAATCTCACTTGAAAGAAACAAGTTTTCAAGACATTGAAAAAATCCACACTACTTTAAATGAAAGGACATGAAGGAATCCCCTCATCAATATTCAAAAGAGTGATAATAGTTTGTGGACTTGAAAAGTCTATTTTCCTGAAAAATTGTTTTAAGAACTCAACTGTCAGTAGTACAGGAAACTCAATCAATGAATGCCAAATGTTTCCTTATAAAGAAACAGCTAATATTACCATTAAGTTAATATAAATACAATTTCTCATGTCAGAATTCAGAAAAGGAAAAATTAACATTTATATGCAATCACATTATTAATATTATAAATATTTTTAATATAAATAAATTATAATAATAAATGATTAGACATCTCCATAAACCTTTTTAGTTTAACTTTATTGTAAAATATGCAGATTTTTTAACAATATTTAACGATCTGTATTTGCTGATCCAAAATATCTGTGTATTCATCAGCTATCTTCAGCCCTTGGTCTGAAGATCACAAACAGAAAATAAAAAAAATAAAGTTTTATTTTCTATTTGGTGTAAAATTGTGACAATATTTCTCTTTCATTTTGCCACTTGCTAAATATCAAATTCATTACTAAATATTAAATTTATTAGATAGCTTGCTTGGTCATAAACTACAGATAATTTTAAGCAGTTCTTTTGTACATACAATCTTATCTACAGGAATTTTCTAATAGAATAACCTAGAACTTATACTGGAAGCAAACTCCCTGCATAGTGATAAAAACGAATTCAGTATATATACAAAAATAGAAAGATGTGTAAGACAAGGATGTGTCTTATTATCCAACGTATTCAACCATTTCAATGAAGCAATCCTTAGAGAATTAGAAATCCTACCAGGATTTGTTATTGGCAACAAACAATCTTAACAACATTTGATATACAGATGTCACAGTATTGATAGCAAACATAGAAAGGAAACTACAAAAAGTAGTAAAGGAAAGCAAGAAGAAAGGACTAAACATCAATTGTAAGAAGACAGAAATGCAGGGTTGTCAGCAAAAGGAACAACACAATATGTGAATTAAAATTGGAAATACCAAAGTACAAGTACAGTTCTAATTTAAATATCTACGAAAGTGTTTTTACAAAGGACATATATACGACAACAGAATCCAAAGGTGCATCAGGATAATGAAAGAAGCAAAGTATTAAGAAACAGGAAACTTTCATTAGAAACAAAGAAAAGAGTACTGAACTGTTATGTAATATCTGTCCTTCAATATGCCAGTGAATGTTGGACAATCTCCTCACTGATAAAGAAGAGATTTGAGGTAACAGAAATGTGGTTCAACTGAGAATACCATGGACTGAACCTATAAGCAATGGGGAAGTTTAGGAAAAAGGTAACAAAAAGGCCACTTACACCTAGAATCAGCAAGAGACAGTTGAAACTTCTAGGCTACATTATAAGGAAAGAGGGCTTGGAAAAATTGACACTCACAGGACACATTGAAGATAAAAGGGACAGAGGAAAGCAGCACATAATCTAACAAGTTTGTAGTAATGGTTGATAGAACATGAATTAGGAGAGATATCAAAAAGAAAATCTTTACTGAATGGTAGAAAGGACAAGAAATTGTGGAGAGCCATGATCATCCACATCCTCAAGGGACATGGCACATAAAAGAAGATGAAGAAAATATATGGATTCATGTTACATTATTTTCTTTTTTTTTTTTTACTCAAACTAGTTTCATTCATTAATATAAACTACTGTTTTGTTCAGATTTATTTGATGAAGCATTGTCATTATTATTCACTTTTGACTAGTTATTTTTCATTTTATTTTTGTAGTTTCAAATCTTATTTATTTACATGCAGACAATTGTTCTCTTCTTTGTTTTTGTTATGACAACATTGTGCCCTCCAGTCTTTGTTAAGTTTATATTGATCTAGGTAACCTCCAGGGAATGTCGAAGTGAACCCTTTATTTAATTTACAGGGGCAGATTGTTCTCATTCACTGCTCATGTCTAGCAATCTCTTATCTAGTTCTTACTTTCAAATCTTCCAAATAGTTTCACATCTTATTAGTAGCTTATTCTTCATTTCTGTTGTCTGTATTTAATGGCTGGAGAACATAGAAACAACCTGAACAATTCTATAAAAACACAATATGATAAAAGTGAAATTAGTCCAAAAATAAATCTAAAACTATTTTGTTTATTTTCTTTTTGCTTCATGCATGCTATTACTAGCCAAAATAGTCTACATATTTAATTTCATTAACCAGATCATTAATATTTATCTACATGTTTTTATTATACTGAAAATATATCTTTCAAATTTGGCTATTAATGTCTTTCAAATTCAGCACATTAAAGTAAAATATAACAGAGTTTGAAAAAATTGGAATTTTGTTGGTCCCTTCAAGAGATACCATTTTTTCTAAGTTCTTAACATGACTTTCTTGTACAGTTTTGTACCTGATTCCCACTCTGCTGAACTGGCTCCCTGGCAATATATGTCTCAGCAGTACCTTGCATTTAATGAAGGACACATGCTCTACAGTCTGTCTGAAGTTATTATGCAAATCACATAAACCAAAATAACTCAAATTTGCTTTGAACAATTTTTGTCAAATTTTAAATGATTAATTCAGACTTCAAAACGAGGCCCAAGTTAAATTTTTAGGTAGTTCAATCTGCATAATAACTTCAGACTGAAGTTTTTATAATAAATCCAATAACTTTAATAAAACATGATGAAGCTCTCTACAAACTGAACTCAAGCTTTGTTTTGATGTATAAATCAATCATTTAAAATTTGACAGAAACTGTTCAAAGCAAATTTGAGTTATTGAGGTTTATGTGAATTGCATAATAACTTCAGATAGACTTTTATATTTATATTAGCACTGATTTTTGCTAAGTACTTGTGACATGGCCAGTGTAAGACAGCTACTCTTTCTAAATAGCTAAACCAATGCAGACACCCAATTCACTTAAATGTTTGTATTGAACAAGGTTGCTATAGTATTGAGAGGCCAACAAAATCAATGCCCATTACAAATTGGTGCATATTACATTGTGTATGTGTGTGTGTGTGTGTGTATCATTTGAGCCTGGTCAGTGCCTAGATGAATGATTGCTTGGGAATACTAGGTGCTTTAAGCTTCAATGTGTGGGTGGTGTAATGGATAATGACTAGGAGAGCCAAGTTCCAATTCCAGTTGGGTTTGTTACATTCACTTATATGCAAATACGCTAGAGAACGGTATGCTGATTTGATAAGCATAGCTTAGATGTGGCACAAGGCCAAATGTATGGGGCACTCAGTGAGGATTTAACTCACTACTCAGTCATAATTGTTCTAATGAGACAAGATTGCTAATCACATCAGGGAGACCACTCCTAGGGAAAGGTATGAATCCACATCTTCTCTCTCCCAGCTTAGAGGTTTATTAGTAAAACTAGTATTACTAAAATATTATTTGCAAAAAAATAAATAAAAATTGCATGCAAAATATTTAAATTAAATATCCTGTAGTGGTTGATAGGCAACTAAACAAAAACAATCCAACCATATGTATGTCTGTGTGTTGGAGCTTGGGATGCTGATATATAAAACAAAGAATATATCTCACCCAAAAAACAGTCTTACATGGATTTTTGGGAATTTAATTTTTTTTTTGTTAGGACAAACTGTCTTTGTAATTACAGGACTCAGTATCGAGAGATTTTTTTTTTATTTGTCTTTTATATTTATATTTCTTCAGGATGTAGGTGATTGTAGCTCTTCAGAACTTCTTATCATTTGCAACCCTCAGTAGCCCCCTACACCATCTCTCCTTACTCCTGCTGTTCAGCCATCCATTTACAAAAACTCATTAGGTATGTTACTCCCTACTATGTCCTCTCAAATTCTCCAAGCTCTCTTTGCTCAATATGTGCCTTAGAAATTTCAAGTGTAAGTGTACTTTTTGTTTCCATTTTCTCTAAAACTTCCATATTGCTCATATTTTCCATCCATTGTATTCTCAGCATCCTTCTGGAGAATCACATTTCTGTTGCTTCATGTCTTATTTTGAGTCCAATTAGTTTGTATCTGTATATATACATTATATACACACACCTATATGTGTGTGTGTGTGTGCAAATTTACTGATGATGAACGAGTAATTAAAGCACTTTCTAAACATTTTCGTCTTAGTGAATTATTTTGCATTTTAATTAGAATAGCATTTATTATGTCAAAATTGTGATCAGTCTCATTATGATGAGCAACTAAAGTATTTAATGTTCAAGATGATGGAAACATAAAAAAAAAGAATCTAAATGTAATTGGTTAGACACCAAAGGACAATAAAAACATTTTTTGATCTAAATTTAAAATTGCCAGGGTCTATTTTTTGTGCACATGTAGTCACATCAGTGTAAACAAAACCTTGTCTGATGAAATCCTAAGGGACAATACTTGTCACGCAAAAAATTTTTTCACTTTGTCATATATCTTTCCTCCAACACTGCTCTTGATATATAAAATTTTATATTTTTATCCCATATATATTTATATATATATATATATATATATATATATAT